TCTTAAAACATTTATATAAAATAAACCAAAACTAAAGAAAATACAGAAAGTATTATTTAGAGCTGAAGAGAAGTATGAGCAGAGAAGACAGACTGAAAAGAAATATGAAACCATAATTATTAAGATACAAAGTACCACAAACAACACCAAAAATCAACAACAGAATGACAATTAACACATACATTTTGATAAAAACTTTAAATTTCAATGGTCTCAATTCTCCAGTCAAAAGACATAGACTGAATAAATGGTCAAGAAACAAAATCCATCTATTTTTGCTGTAAAGATAAGGTACCACCTTAGAGTAAAAAGATAGACAAAAGTACTAATACAAATGGGGCCAAAAATTGCTATGCTAACATATGACAAAATAGACATTAGTAATAATAATAATAATAATAATAATAATAAGAAGAAGAAGAAGAAGAAGAAGAAGAAGAAGAAGAGGAAGAGGAAGAGGAAGAGGAAGAGGAAGAGGAAGAGATAAAGAGGGAGACCATGAAGGGAGCATGCTGTTCAAGAAAATATTCATAGAGAACAGACCAAAACACTGAAATTTGGCAAATTCATCCCAGTGTTTTAAAAGATTGAGATGATCGAAAATAAGCTATATTCAAAGAAACCCATGCCAAGAATCTTAGAATCAAACTTCTGAAAAATAAAGCAAATTGAGAAATTATTGAAAGCAGAAAAAAATGAGTCATTATCCATAGGAGAAAAATTATTCAAACAGTGCCTTTCTCATCACAAACCATGGAGACAAGAAACAAATAGCACATTCTATAAGTGCTTAAGGAATACCCAATCCAAAAATATTCTCAAAGATCTTGCAGATTAAAAATATAAAATTGTAAAAAAGAAAGAAAGAGCAAGCAGAAAAATCCTATGGCAGTATGGCAGGCTAATCTCTAACATAATAGCTATATAAACATATAATTTACTTGTAGACATATAATAGTGTGTATCAGAAACCAAAGTAAAGATCATAACATCATTTATGATAGCTCCAAAATTTAAATGCTTTGTTCCATATCTCACAAGGATTTTTTTTTTCTTTTTGTGACTGTGTCTCACTCTGGAGCCCAGGCTAGCCTGGGCCTCATCATGTCCCTAGCAATACTTCCCAAGTGGGATTAAAAGTGTACCAACATAGCAGTTAACAAATACATGTGATATGCAAGGCATGTAAGCTATAATATCTAATACTAATAAAATTAAAAACCCAAATTATTAGACACTTTCCTTTTTTGGCAATTTAGGTTCAATACACTTAATGTTTTTTACTCTCCCCAAGCAGCTCAGTTCCAATCAAAGTTCCTGCCTGAGTCTCTTACTACATAATTTGCTTTTTCAACATCTTTTTTTTCATACTTAGAACTTATATAGGAGGGCAAAGTATTTAGAAGGGTCAAAACAATCAGGCTGATTACCGCCACTGAGTTTAACACACTGTGGAAAGCATCAACTACCACAATACTATGTTCTTTGTGAAATGTGTGTATTGTGATGAATGGAATAAAAGAGTTGTATTAAGGTGCAAAGAAATATTATGAACTCATTCTTAACAGTTAAAAGGCAAGTTGTTAGGGAATTACCTTTTTGAAAAGTGATGCTGGTACAAGTGGACATATATTTGAGCAAAACAAACTTAGCCTATAACACATAACTTATACAAAATATAGTTCTAAATGGAACATGGATCCAAGTATAAAACATGAATTCATAAAAAATTTTGGTTGTGAGCCTAGCCTTTGATGTCTGAGCTATGAGTTGTAATCAAAGAATTTAAATAAAAAAATTTTGAAACATGGCATAAAATGCTAATAGGTTTAGGTCGGGAAAATAATGCCTAGATATAACTTCAAAGCCATGAAAAATAAAAGAGAAAAATCTGATTTCATTAAAAATATAATTGATTGATTGATTCTTTAGGAATTTCATCATGCACCACAATTCCACTAATTTCCCAGTCCCTCCATATCTAACCTTTACCCTGACAGCATGCATACCACCCCCTAAAAGAAAGATAAGAACAAAGAAAATAAGCAGTGAGGTAACAGGAATATCACTACAAGGTAAGAAGACAATAGCATCAGGGTTTGGAGCTGGGGAGGTGGCTCAGAGGGTGAAAGCATCTGCTTCAGCAAGCCTAACAGCCTGGGTTCAGATTCTGGGTACCCAACTCAAAGCTAGAAGCTGGGGAAAGTGTCTATGATCCCAGTACTCCTATGGCACATATTTTTTACATAAACAGTGGACAGATATTTGATACTGCAAGACAAAACAGCATCAACACTTTTCAGAGTGGACCAAGGTTTTGAATTGTAATAGTCACTGCTGAGAATAGCTCTTAGCATGAAATGCCAGAGACACATTTTGGAACATCTAGGTAATTAAATTCTCCCCTAATCACAATCAAAATTCCATTTAATGACTTTTTTAATGAAGCAAATCAGCAACTCAAATAGCAGTTTTTAAAATCATTTAAAAAGAGTAAAATTTAAAATAAACACTTTAAATTGTTAAAAGTCCTTGTTTTCCACAATACAGAGCATAAAACTCTGGTGTATATCTAGTCATTGTAATGTATAACATACACTAGTTCAATTTTGCTTGTTTCTTTGTTTGAGATGAGGTTTCTTTTTGTATACTTGGCTGGCCCATAACTGGATACTTTGACCAGGCTGGCCTCCAACTTGCTGTGACCTCTTCCTCTGCCTCCCTAGTGCTAGGATGATATGCCTAATCCACCATGCCCAGCTTCTTTAGCATTCTTTACGAAGAATAATTCATTACTTTTTACTAATTTAAGTCCTATCTTAAAATATAAATGGCTATTTACACTAGTAGATTTAAATAGTCTACCAAGAAAAATTTTGATGGTTTAATAATGACTCAGCACTTCATTCAAAGAGCTAGTCACCTCAGAAATCTATGGACCTCCTGTAGAAGCCCAGTATTAATACCTAGCATAGGTATGGACTTTGGAAGCCCATTGCATATAGAGGAATATTCCCTGAGCCAAGACACACGGGGGGGGGGGGGGGGGGCCTAGGCCCTATCCCAAAGGATACGATAGACTCTGATGACACCCTATGGAAGGCCTCACCATCCAGGGGGAGCAGAAAGGATATGTGATAGGTAGGGTTTTAGTTGGGGGGTGGCAGAGGAGGACAGGAGGGAGAAGGGAACTTGGATTGTTATGTAAAACAATCTCATTGCTAATTCAAATAAAAAAGTTGGAAAATAAAAAATAGATTAAATGAGAAAAACAAAAACAAAAACAAAAACAAAACGAAGAGCTAGTCATGATCTAGCTGCAACTCAGAGTAAATGGATTAGGCTTCTAAGAATTACCAAACTTTCTTTAAATGGATTCTTTACATTTTTTCATTAATGAGTAAAATACCACCCAGATATATCTCTTATAGTTAATATCTACCTGAATTTTCTAACAGTCTTTTCTAGGTCTCTTGCTTAATTCACTTCATACAAAATTAAGGTGGTAATGGTACATGTTACAGCATGGATGAACTTTGGAAATACAGTAAGTGAAAGAATGTGGTTACAAAGATTATATGAAAAATTAGAATAGGCAAATCTAAAAAGAGAGAAAATAGATTAGTATGTAATTGCCTAGGGTTGGAAAAGTAGATGAGAGGATTAGTTGTATAGGCTTTTGTAGAGGCAATGAAATATGTCCTAAAATTAGCTGTAAAGGCAGATAGTATAGAAATCATTGAATATGATTTGAATTACATTTAATATGGGATAATTATATGGTTTCTGAATTATATTTTAATAAAGCTATTTAAAATCATCAAGAAATGTTTGAGCCAAAAAATTATGTATCCTGTAAAATAATTTTCATGGTAAGAGACTTAGTTATTGGCATTTAATAGTCAGCTATCATAGAAATAAGATATACAAAATAAGGAGGGAAATAAGAATATACATTTAAATCTGACATGGTCATTTCCTCAAAAGTTTAGCATTATATAGAAAAGGATCACAGTTACACATATTATAAAAAAAGATGCTTTTGGCTTACAATTAAGTATAATCAATGAGAGTTAATTACAATATGCAACATAATGTTAAATTGTAGCAAGCTAAACAATATCTGGACTTTTAAAAAGCTTTATGATTCACATGTCAGAAATTTACTTTAAATGAACAAAAAAATCAGTCACTATAAGAAGAGACTAATTATATTGCTATAACTGATTTTTTGTTTCAAAACAAAACAAAAAAGTGTTCTTTCTTTGCCAAGCTGAATATAATAGCCTGTGCATTATAAGATCAAGCAAGCAAACTGTATGTTTTCTAAAATATGGGTATCCTTCATCAAGTTTTATACTTAGGGCAGCTAAAAGACCTGTGTGGAGGATCAGCATTAAACCCAAAGGACGGGTAGTGCAAGGCAAGAAAGAAAGCAATTCCCTCGTGTCTTTTGCAGGTCACTATCAAGGACCATGTTAGCAGATCCACACCAGACCCTTAACAGGCAGTTCTGCTGCTACCAGTAATTAGCTTGGACAGCTCTGGCTCCAAGAGTAGCAGCAAGGCTACACCATAATGAGCTCAGCTGGGATTAGCAGGACAGGGCAGGGAACCAAGAGAGCTCAGGCATTCTGCATTGCGTATATATCTAGGAGATCAAACAAGGATGGCTGGCTAGGTTATCCCCTCTCCACCTCATTCCAAAAATGAAGCACGGCAGTGTCTAAAATACAGGCTAATGAAGAGCGACACCCTCAACAGATGAGAGCCACATTAATTAACACAATCCCTAGATCATATTATACAGTTTCTGTTAGAGCTAGCAAATGTGCAACTTGTTATTGCATAATTATATACATATACATAGTGTCTTATTTATAAATCTCAAATAATTCCATTTTCAATACTTAAAATGTACTACTCTAATAAGATGTGGAGCAACAAAAAAAAATTCTCAGATTATTTACCCAGTTTTCTGTTGTTACAAAGAAACTCACTTTTGAACCATCAAGTCTTGGTTTTCTCTTTTGAAATACGCCAGTTCATTCCACACAGCATCAGAATCTTCTTGACGAAGTTGTTGAGGAAGTGCTCGCTTCATTTTTCTAGTTTCAGTCCTACTTTAAAATGAAAGTCTGCAGCATATTCAAAGTGCTATAAAGTTTATTTATACATTCCTTAAAATTCAGAACTATCCAATGACCAAATCTAAATTACTAATTTAATTTTACTGTTTTTTGGATGACTTTCCTAACACCTAAGCATGTCAAAAATTAAAGACACATATCATAATTTCCTAAAGCTAAATTGCTACCATGAAAAAGCAAACTTTTAAGTAGGCATATGATATTAATAAACCTAAGGGTTTATTTCTCTCATTCATTCTAATATAATAGTAATAAAACATACACAATAGGATTATAAGTCTACAAAAGAAAGACACAAGAAATTGATTCATCTAGAATTTGCTGACATCCAATCTGCATGTGGTAAAGATGCCCTATTGCAGACAATTTATTAATAGTGACTATGTCAGAGAGCAGATTGCACTCTTGGAGGTATCACTGCAACCTGGGTGAGCAGAGGTTAAAGCTAGGGAAAGCTGTTTTATCACTGCTTCAGTGAGACACAATGTGAACCATTTCCCATTCATCAAAGGAAAAGATTAGAAGTGACAATTATCTACAAGTGATGCCAAATGCCCTTTATAGTTTCATTTTCTGTACATAAAACAAACTTCAATTTTAGTTTTTAAAAGTGCTATACTGGCTAATTTAGAAATGACTTCTCTACAGAACAGACCAATGTGCAGCATCAACAGTGCCCTAAAGGATCCATCTCGAAGTGGGAGGGAAATAGATTTTCTGTACTCATTCAGTCCTTTGCCCTCTGTTGATACTGTTAACAAGGGAGCAACTTACGGCTAACCAAGACCTGAACACCTGTTCAGGGCAATTGAATTGAGACTGCCGAGTCATTCAGATAAGCTGAAGTTAAAAAAACTGATGGATAGTAAAGATCTTCAAACTGCAGACTAGGTTGAAATAGTTTAAGGTGGTTAACTATACTTTGTAGGCTTCATATTTCTACAGTCTTTCCATTAAAATGTAAATACTTTGGGGGTTATAAAACTTTTAACACCAGTATTTTATTTATTTAAAAGAAGTTCTTCAATAATATGGATATTAACTGGTTTTACTTTGAATTATAGACTTTTATTAAGCTATTATATTGATAGTAAATACATATACTACTCATAACCACCTTCTGCCAATGACATCTGTAAATGATAGGAAAATCTATAGTTATGGCTAGCACATTTTTCTGTTTTCACTTGTTATGTTCTCCACTAAAATATTCGGAGTAAAGATTTGACTACCAAATAATTTCTCTAAAACCAAACAAAAGCCATTAAAACACCTATATAATGCTCTCCATTCCATTTAATATTTAGCGAAACGTCTTTATGAGCTATGTAACTCACATGCCACTGTCTTCTTCCCACTGTTTTAATTGCTCTTTTACTGCTCTGTAGTTGGTATGTAACATCTGTAGCCTTTCCTTGCGTTTGTCATGGGCATTTCTTAGCTCATCATTTTCTTGGCTCTATGGAACACAAAAAGCAAGTGTGTAAGTATGAAAAACTACTGATATTATGATTCAAAAATTACTCATCTAGAGATAAAATTTGAGGAAAGGCCATGCATAACCATGAGTGCATTTACAATACTTATTTCAGCAAAAACCATTTTTTCCTCTAGTCAGAGAACAGGCTTGCTTGATCAATCCAATCAATTCACTGCATTTTTGTGCACCTTACATAGTGTCAAATTTTATCTGCCAAATTAGTTTTATTCTTTTTCTTACTATAAGTTCATAGACATTCAAATATAGCTATAGCCATATTACAAAGTCCAATCTCCTGGTCCTCAGAAAATGTATATATGCTACTGTAGTATTTATGAACTGTGTTTCTCAAACTAAAACAAGTAACTTTCTGAGCTTTCATGAAGTATAAATGAAAAAAAAAAAGCAATCAGGTACTGGAAAGGTGACTCAGTAGTTAAGAATGCTTACACCTACATGGTGGCTTACAACAATCTGCAACTCAAGTTCAATGGGATCTGACACCTTCTTCTGGCCTTTGTGGGCAACAGACACATGATACATGCATGTAAGACACTCATACTCACAAAAAAGTATGAATCTTTAAAAGCATACTATTTCTGTAATTAATTACTGTAGTTAATTGCTAGGTAAATAGGTCCTCTCTAGGTTGTAGTGACGTGTGGTGATATTCTGTTTATGATCTAACAAATAAAGCTTGTCTGAAGATCAGAGTACAAAGCTGGCCACACTAGTCAGCCACACAGAGGAGGCAATGGTGGCCCACACCTTTAATCCAAGCAGCCATACTAGTTAGCCATAGAAGCTGGGAAGTGGTGGTACACAGCTTTAATCCAAACACTAGAGAGGAATATAAGGCTGGTAGTGAAGGAGTATAAAGTATTTAGTCTATAGTCACACTGAGGACAGGATTGCCGCATTCTTGGTAGAGGTAAGACCGCTCTAGTGGCTTGCTGCTTTTCTTTTCAAATCTTCCACTTGATCCCTAATATCTGTCTCTGGGTTTGTATTATTTATGCTACAGTGACGTGAAATGAGTAGGCATTTGGAACTCACATTTGAATCCCATTCTGAGAGATTTTTCTATTAGCTGCATAATCTTACAAACACAACTAAATTCAAGTTCTTTTTCTGCAAAACATGCAACAGAAAACAAAGGCTTACAGGCAGAAGCCTGGCAGCAGGTATTCCCTACAGACACACACAGCAAAGCTGAGCATCTTTTATCATCCTTTCTCCAGGTATTAACAGTGATGGCCTTATCTTTTAGAATTCACTATTTTTTTTTTTTTGCCATTTGCTGCTCATATATGTTGGAAGATAATATTTATAGTTTGCATTACTTTACTCCAATTCTGTCTCATGAGTATTGATACTTTTTCACTCTGCTTTTATTATTCTTCTAGTAGAATTCACATAAATGGCTATCAGAACTATTGGAGTCATGTGCATGCCGAGAAGTTTTTTTATAGCAGAGTGAAATGAAATTTTTTTATAAAGAATAAAAGCAGGAAAGTGGCACTTCTTGACTGGGGTCTTAAAAATCATTATCTAATAAGAATTTTAGAACATTTTCATACCACTGATGTAAACTTGTTAAAAGGAAGTATACCGAAATACCTGAAAGAGCCATTAAAAATTTATGATACTTATTTTAATTTTGTGATAGGCATTTAAACTTGTGTGTATCAGTTTCATCATCTTTAAAACAGAAGCTATTTATATTTCTTGTGGGGAATAAAAATGAATTAAAACTTTAAATTTTCATACAACATTTACTAAACATACCTAACACCAGTTATTTTATTAGGATTTTTCACATGCTATGTTAGAGAATTCTTAATAAAGTAATTTAACTGTAAGATATATTTGGAAGAGATTAAGGTCAAAATACTTTTCATAAATAAGTGAATAGCTAAACTATATAAGAACCTTCTACAATAGCTTACTGTAATAAGTCTTCATGGGATCAAATCTATCTCCCCAAATTATTGTATGATTATTTTTTGAAAAATTCTTAAGAGTTTTTTGTTTTTCTATGGTAACTATAGTTCATAAGAAGATAAGAAGTGATTACAGAATAACAATGAACTTTGTTTTAACTTTACTTATCTCTTCATTGATGCATAATACTCCAGTGCTTATGTAATTCTTATAGTTCTTAAAATATAAACTATTAGAAAATGAACTCAAAACCAGGGATTATTTATAAATATTCATAATTAATGATAATATTTAGCTATAATATTCAAATATGTGGTGCTATGGAACTCCTTTGCCTTCAGAAATAATTAAAATGGTGTAAAGGTGTAAATGTGGGATACATTTCACTTTCCTTTATTCAATACTTTAAAACAAATATAATCTCACTTTGTATGTCTAAGGAAACTATGAAAATGAATACCCAAAAACTCTTTATACATACACAGCCTCTGCATTGAAATCTAATTAACTTTTATTCCATGTATAATAGTGGAAATAAAAATAATAGCATTTTATCAGAGGAATATTGCCAGCACAAGTCATACAACAAAATCAAGTGTAAGTAATGATAAATTTTATGTTATTAACTATTAAATCTTCCTAAAGAACATAATATATCCCAAGGGTAGCCACTGAATTAGATCCACTCATTGGATCATTCTATAAAGCATTTACTAAATACTTTCTGTATTTTTTTCTTTCCTGAAATGGTGAGGGACCCTAAAACATTAGGAACTGGAACTAAGTAAGCTGCATGAAATGACTTTCCTCCATGATTTTGTATATTCTTTATTTCAAAAGAACAGAAGTGATTTTTGATCACTCTTCTGGTTTGGTTAAAGGCTCCTTGGTAAAATACAGTGAACTGGAGTACAAACTCTGTTCCAAAAGCAGTAATTCAGTCTTTAGGGAACAAGAACACACATTTAGGGAAGTTAGCAAAATATTTTCTTCTTTTGGTCTTTATTCTTTGATAATTTCATGTGTGTTAGATGAATATTAATGAAGCTGACATGGAAGTAACAGAAGTAAACTGATCTCAGCAGAAGCAAACTGTCTTTTAATATCAACAAGAGAGGGAGGACACCAGTCTCTCAACCAGAGAGGGAAGGGTACACATGCGGCATGGTGAGGGGTAGGGGTGTTAATAGGGTAGGAAAAGATTCCATCTACAGGTCAGGTCTCCTCCAGTTGCAAAATAGGGCACAGCAATAGAGGCTGGCATACTGATCTGATCACCAGCCGCAACAAGTGTTATCAGTCAGCTTTCCTGCCCAGAGAGGCTCAGCTTCTGCCCCCCAGCCGCAACAAGTGTTATCAGTCAGCTTTCCTGCCCAGAGAGGCTCAGCCCACCTGAGGCTTTCAGTTCATTGGCCCTTCAATCCATGAACACAAGATATTCCAATCATATTCACCCCCTACTTCTCTTCTATAACTCCTACCAGATGCACAGCTCCATGCTCCCCTTCCAACTTTATGTTCTTTCTCTTCTTTCCATAATAACCCATTGTGTAAAATAAAACTTAATGAGTCTTCAAGGATTGCATTAGGGAATGTGAATTTTATCAAAATATATAAATCTCCTATATATCAGGGCTATGAAGAAATACAGCATTATCTGCCAACTTGACACAGCTTAGAATCATCTGAAAGGAATAGTTTGACTGAAGAATTGCCTATGTCAGACATGGCCTGTTAGTAAGTCTATGAAGAATTATCTTGATTCTTAACATAAGGTCCAGTCCACTGTGGGTGACACCATCCATAAGCAGGTAGTCTTGAACTACAAAAAAAAAAAATCTATCTATATAAGAGCCTATAAGCTAAGCCAGAAAGATAGCCAGCATATAGCTGTCCACCATGGATTTTGCTACAAGTTCCTGTCTTGATGCCCCTCAATAATGGACAGTGGTGTGATGAATTCCTGGAAAGATGCTGTCTGCATAGGCTAATGGACTGATAAAAACTTCAGTGAGTACAGACTTTGGAATATTGTTGATCTCATGTCCTAATTACAATTTCCCTCAGGCTATCTTTAACACCCTAAAGAGCCTCCTTGGCTACCTAAGAGTCTGACCTAATATCCCAATTAACAGAAAAAAAAATCTTTAGAATAAATCAATAAAACCCCAATCTCCAAAAAAAAAAGGACTATGAATGCTATCAGACAACATTGAGGCATAGAGTTGAGATTTTTCTGTTTGTTGTAACTACCCACTTAATGTTCCTACCAATGTATTTTTTAAAATTCCCTAGTTTATATCTTTCTTTGTTCTTTTATTACTAAAAAACTGCATGAAATTATTTTCTTATTGGGGAGCTATATTTGGAAAGACATAAATACATGTTTCTAGGCTTATGGTCACTCAAATTTGGCTGCAGAATAACCTCTTATTCACTTAAGGAATGGGTTTTATTGTTTTTTGCTTTGTTTTGTTTTTGTCTTTTTGCATTGACAGTGACTTGCAAATGTAAGCCAAATAAATCCTTTCTTCCCTCAAGTTACATTGGTCAGAGTGTTTCATCACAGAAACTGGAAAACTGCTTTAACAGTTAATACTGTTATTAAATGCCATTGAAAAGTGTTAATAGAATCAAGAAGCCAAGAGCATAAAAGTCAGCATCTGTGAACAAATGACTAATAGGGGTTTCTGGAAGCTCTAACATAGACATGCACCACATACATGAATTTAGGGATATGGGAAAGATTTGTTATTTAATAACTCTCCATTTTCTACACTTTTAGCATATTTATTTTGACACTGTTCATCATCTTGAAAGTAACTACAGCTATAATACAAAAGAACAGCAAAACATGTAAATTTTGTACAAAATTAATAACAGAATTTAGTAGCATAATATGCAGATTCAACAAAGTATCATTTTAAGAGTTCCCTAGTGTGTGTATGTGCACACACACATGAGCTAACAATGAAGTTAATATCTCTCTCCCATCCTTTAATTGACTGGGTAGTAAACTTGATACCCTAAATCTCCCTGGGGATCATAGCCTTTTCTTTATGGAATCTTCCATAGAACAACAGCATTTGTGGAAATATTAATAGATATGCCATAACCAAGAATATATGAAAAATGTGTCTATACATTTCTATAGATTTATAATGCACATTTTACTGAAGGCTCACAAAAAAGAAGTCTTTTAATACTTGGTTTACAATAACAATTTAAGCCTGAACCACTCCCCTCCCCCCCCACTATATTCTCATTAACTTCTGGCAAAGTACTATTCCATAGAACACCAAAGGCCATAAAAAATTCAGCATATGTTAATGGGTAATAGCCTAAAAAGCAAGAAGCCAAAATAAAATAATAAAATCCAAATACTTATATAGGTCACCCTTCTTCCATTCTCCGGAGAAAAAAAACAAAAACATGTTGTCCTAATCCTAATATGTTAGAACAGGATCTTTTTTGGAGATAGGATTTTTACAAAGTAATCAAATAAAAATTAGGTCATTAGTGGGTCCTAATCTAATTTCCTTCTGTCTTTGTTAGGGTTTCAATTGCTGTGGAGAGACGCCCTGACCCCAGCAACTCCTATAAAGGAAAACACTTAATGGGGGTAGAGGGCTCTCTTACAGTTTCAGAGCTTTAGTCCATTATCATCATGGTGGAAAACAAAGCAGCATGCAGTCAGACACGGTGCTGGAGAAGGAGCTCAGAGTTCTACATCTTGATCCAGAGGCAGTAGAAGGAGCCTGTGTGTCACGCTGGGTATACCTGGAGTATATGAGGCCTCAAAGCCCACCCTTAGAGTGACACATTTGCTCCAAAAAGGCCATACCTCCTAATAGTGTCACTGCTCATGGGCCAAGTATTTAAACACATGAGGCTATGGGGCCATTTCTATTCAAACCACCATACCTTCTAGAAAAGGTAAAACAGAGACACAGGGAGAAAGACATATAGGAATATATTGTGAAGACACAGTGGGAATGTGTCTATATAAGGCATGGAATACCTAAACAACAAGAAAGGAGGAGGAAGGGACAGGACTAACACAGCAACCAGAGGAACTGGTCTGGCTGACACCTTGCTATTAGGCTGAACTACCCTACAGAACCTCAATATACTACACTTTCATTGTACTAAGTTACTCAGTTTGTGGTGCTGCCTTACAGCAGTCCTAGAAAAGCAAACACATTTATTATCATCACTGTTACTATTACTATGTGTGGTGCTGGTAGCAGAAGCCAGAGCCTTCCACACACTAAGCCTAGATTCTGCCACTCCATTGAATCCCCCAAACCTTGTGTGAAAAGTTAACCCCCATTGTGAGGTATTAAGAAGGCAGGAACTTAGAAATCTGGCCTACTTGAGATGAGTGAGATTAGACCAGTTTTTCAGTTTTTTGTTTTTTGCTTTTGTTTTTTCTGTGAAGACCTTAAGGCTGAATTGCAGTGGCTTAATAGGAAGAAGACAGAAAGGGCTTCCTGTCTATCATTGTCATACACTGAGCATCATGACTGCCTGCAGAAGGTTATCACTAGATGGGGCCCCTCCATGTGCAGGAACATGTACCCCAAAGAAATGTCATTTCTGTGCTAAGTATGAATCTGGTATTGATTTAGTAGCAAAAGCATACACTAATTACGTGATTAGAGTAGACAGTATTCCTCAATCTATTGGAAACCTCAGTGATAAAACAAGATTTTTCTTTCTACTTGACATATCTGAGCTGAGACACTGTCTTCCCTTGTCTTTGGACTCAACCTGGAACTTAGACATGAACTTACACAATGAGTCCTAGCTTATAGCCTTAAGGCTCAGACTGGAATTAGATTGTTGTCTCTCTTTAGACCTCCATTTCCTAACTACAAATCTAAAACTCCTCAACTTCTACAACTCTATGAGTCAATTGGAATTGAATATAAATAATGCTATATGAAAATTTGATAGGGATGAATCTCTGTGCATATATATACATATACATATAAAAGCATGCATGAACACACATGTATATACATACATATGCCACATTGGATCTGCTTCTCTGGAGAATTCAGGATAAAGCACAATAGAATAAAGCACCTTAGAATATAAATGTCAAGAACCATACAAAAAAGAGGCTAGAGTTGACTTCTAACACCACCCATGTTTTGTGCTCATTCCTGCATTTGTACCCACCACACCATAGAACAATTACTTATCATCCTCCTTTCTTCTTTCTCCTTTCTGTATTCCTTCTTTTCTTTCTTTTGCTTGCTCTTTCTTTCTGACAGAGTCTGACATCGCAGCTCAGGTTGGCCTCCACAATATCTTGTAGCTGAACTTAGAATCTACCCCTCCTGCTTCCTCCTTCTGAGTGCTGAGGTGGCAGGTGTACTCTAGGGTCCAGTTTCATCTAGAGCTAGGAATAAACCAAGGACTATGTGCCTCCTTGGCAAGCACTCTACCAACTGGTCAAGAAACTCACCCACTGTGTCTGAGCAAGTTTCATAATAAGTAAATAATACATGCTGACTAATTAAAATGATCAATTAATTCCTATTGTATAAACATATAAATAGACTAAAGTAACTCCAATATTTTTCTGTGTTCTTTGTAAACTAAACTAAATGCTGGATCAGATAATCTGGCTTTTCTTTTTGGTAAAAAATATATAATCATTTTTGTTTTAGAAAAATAACTTGACTTCAATAAACATTAACAATGGAAAAAGGCAGAAAAATATTGTTTGTAGTGTATTATTCATAACTGTACCTCTAAATCAATTTTGTTCCAGGAACAACATTAATTAGGCAAAAGATTTCCATGACAGTAACTATATACTATATAAAAAATAGAACATGTAGGACTGCATGTAGGCTCAAAGGTATAGTGCTGGCCTGCCACACATTAAGACCCCAGGTACAACACATAGAATTGAAAAGGAAAGGCTGGGGAGAATCAACTACATGACAGATACTAAAGTAGGGTAAGACTTCAAGTGCCTATGAATAAAGAATAGAAAACTTCCATACCAAAGCCAGGCTTGGGAATGTAGCTCAGTGGTTAAGTATTTGCCTGGCAAGTGAGAAGCTCTAGGTTCCATCCTCAGCATTACAAAAATAAGTGAACAGATAAATAGATGAGCCAGAAAAGACAAACTCCAATACATCACATCAAACTAGCTAAGTATGCACTAAGAACTTCCTCTCATAAACAAAGTTCACAGAATATGAATTAGGAAGTATGTATCCTCAAAGACAAAGCAATAATGTACATGCTTCTTAAAATGGGCAGATAATGAATTTAAAGACCACTTGAAATGTTCTGTAATAAATTCAGTTGAAAATTTTTCCTATGTGTCTGCATTCATTTTGTTTTGATTTTGCAGGCCTGGAGATTTAACCCAAGGCTGTGCTTGTATTAGGTAAGTGCTCTACCACTGAGTTACATCCCTACCCCCATCTGATTCTCATGTAAAAGTAACTTTATTGTCAAACCCATTAGATTTAAAATCACCTAGGAGACAGGACTCTTGGTGTGTCTGTGAGGAGATGTCCACAGAAGTTCAGCTGAGAAGGGAAAATCTACCCTGAATCAAAGTGGCATCACCATCCCATGGATGGAGGTCCAGACCAACTATCATTCAATGTTCATTGTTTCCTCGCCAAGGAAACAAGCAAAGTAAATAATACAGTATTTATAAGAGACCTGAGCAAAGTGAATCTGATATTTAACTCAATTTAGTCTTAAAATGTCTATTGTATATAAAAAACAGGAAATTATTTTTCTACTATCTATGGTATTGTATCTAAAATACTCTTAAGAAATTTATTCCCAAATTTATTTGAAATTAATGAATACATATTTAATTTTCAAGTAGTAAATCTTTTAAAGACTAGTTTTTACATAATAACTTTTAGAAAGGAAAACAAGCGAACTGTATCCTTGCTCTGTTTATATTTACCTTCACATGGTTTTAATTAAAGAAATGGTTTAATGTTCACCTTTAGCTGTAGTGTCTTCTCTAAGTTTTCAATCTTTCTTTCAGCTTTTTTTAGCTTCCTTAGCTCCTCTGAGGCCTTGAGAGTGCGCTTTGGGGACAAAGACCTTGAGCGTTTCACAGGTGGTTCCTCGAGAATAAAACAAGGACATGGTTGAACTGGCTGAAACACAGGATTATGAAAGACATGCAAAATTAAAGAACAAGTAATTTTGAATACTAATAATGAATTATAAAAAAAAACTCCTGCATGGAATACCCAAGAAATAACAAGCGGAATTACCACAGTGCTGCAGCTAAAGGTTTCTCTGTGACTCGTTAATGAGAATATTCATTTACATTTACATTGTTTCTTTCAGAATAATGATGTCCCATTAGGGAAGACTAAAGGGTTATAGACTCAGAAATGCAAGAAACCTCATTACAAAGGAGGGGATAGAGGCTGGTCTAATTGCTCTATAAGGGTCCAAGGTTACACTTGATAGGACAACCAGAAACAAGAGGGAAAGGATTTTTCCCCTTTGAAATAGTTTAACACACTGTGAAGTTGAAGGAACAATATGCTTGAGGAATATAAATACAACAGACAGTAGATCTTATACCATAATGACCATATGGTCATTAACTGTAATGTGGCTAACTAGAGACAAGAATGTGTGTTTATATTATGTAGCTCCATATACCAATCTGGAGACAGAATGCAGGAAAATGGCTATAAAGCTGGGCAGCAGTGTTCTCCTTTTATGCATGTCCTTACAAAAAAGAAAAAGGAAATGTTTAAAATACACCTGTTCTTCCTTTCATTGTCTTTGGAGGTAAAAACAGAATATTCAAACTTCAGCAATACAGCAAGCAACCAAATTTGGTCCTATAACTGTTTATAATCTTATGAATGCTTTCTCTCATTTAAATAAGGCTTGGGAAACTACCTCAAAATGGTAAGAGCTACAAAATATAATGATATTATGATGAATAAATAAAATCCATGCTTCTGAAAGTTACTAACAATACAATAAGGCAAAAGCAACACTGCCACTGATCAGTCTTTTTTAAAAGGTTTCCTTCATTAAGGCAGCTTGTTCTACTCATTAAAAAACAAGGAAACTAAAAAAAACTCTAACCAGTTTGTGCTTACACAAAACACTCTTCTGATGTAACAGGTGTGAGAAAAAAATGTCTAAAAAGCCTTACTTTTAGGAAAAACTTACTTCAACTTAGCTATAACCTTTCTATCAGTAAATATTCTATAGAATATTCTGCTGCATAACATAAATATGTTCCCATATTTATGGGAAGCATAACATAAATGCTTCCCAAAAAAGAGAGAGAGAGAAGTAGAGAAGTATTTAAAAATATGCCATGGAAAATTTGCTTATTTATCTTTATTGCTACCATTTGAATCTCTAATTAAACAATTAATATTTCAGTATTTTATATTCCATATGTCCTGTACTTTACATATCATACTGGAACAAAATATGAATATTATATACATTTTCCTTTTACTTAAAATATAAATTTACTAAGTAATTATATTTTGAAATAAAGTCTATCAGGTAGATGAGGGTTACTTACCAAAAGAAAATAAGTTTTTAGTTTCAATGTATATAAGGAAAGAAATGTGTGCTTCTCTTTGTTTTTGACTTCCTCCCTTGCCTTGCCAGCCTTCTCCTGACAAATGACTAAGATGAGAAAACGTCTCTACCTTGTGTTTTCCTTCAGCGCTCTTCCCTGAGAAACTCTGGCCAGAGGATCTACAATCCAACAACTTTTCATTTGCCACTTTCAGTTTCTTCTGTAAATACTCGATTTCAGACTTCTGTGAGACAATTAATGTTTCCAAGCTTGAAAACGATGGCTGTTGAGACAACTGTTATTTAAAGTATATGTGTAAATCCCCAGATACGATTACATTTTATATCATATACAAATATGAGTACATTTCTATTACACCAAATAAATCACATACATTCTTGGGAAAGCTCATTTTAACAGCAGACTATGAGCTGTAAGAGGTTAAAGGCCAGCTCAGTCATTATATGCACAAGACCCTAGGAGAGAGTCCAAGACCTAAAATTCTAAACTTCCTTTATTTAAACCATATCATTTTAATAGTGACATTACTCAACTAAAATACCAAGGATATACACAAATGTCTTCATAAATAGTGTTATCATATAGATTTTCAGGAAAAAAAGTTAGATTGAAGCCCCATGGCATAAGCCTATATTTATAAATCTATAAATCAATCATTATAAGCTTATGATTAGAGACAAATATCTCCTCACAGAATACTCCTCTCAATCCTAACATTGAGAGTCACAAGAGCATGGAATATGAATCTAGGGATGGAAAGCACCAGCATCATGGAGATATTGCCAGCCTATGAATTATCACAAATTAATAATCATGCTCCAAGAATTCATAGACATTTTACAATCAATTTACTATTTAGGATTCTCTTTAGAAATCTGTTCATATGTAATAAACTTCTAGTGGTTAGTCCCAAATTTCAGTAATAGGAATCAGAGGAAACCTGTCTATAAAAACTAGCTTTCTACGATATTCTACCATTTTCACTGGAAGATTTGATACCACAAAAAGTCATGTACAAATACTTCTCCAAATTTGCCACTTCCTTTATAAAGGATAAAACACAAAATCATTATTGAAAATGGTGTTTTCACTGATTTAACCTTTTAAGATTTATGCTTTTTTTATGTGTATGTGTTTGTGCTTGAGAGTATGTATATGCACCACATGCATGGAGGAGCCCTAGAGAGTTGGAATAGGACATCTGATCCCTGGCACTATAGTCACTAATCATGGCTGGCTGAACACAACCATGTGGGTGCTGGGAACTGAATCCAGGTATTCTGAAAAGCAGCAAGTGATCTTAATCCCCAAACCATCTCTCCAGTCCATTTTTCTGTATTTAAATCACATTAAAATGCCAACCCACAGGAAGTAAATATTATCAATATGGCTTCAGAAGTCCTGAAAATAGTTTTATAACTTTAATTATGCACAGTCCCATCTTTCCCAATGATATTACCAAGATCTTTGACAACATAAAAACACATACATATACACATGTGTATATAATGTGTGTGTGTGCCTATCTGTGTAAGTACATTCTGAACAAAGGTAATGCTGTTTTGTTCCTATTTCTGTTTTCATTTTCATTAGAATAGGAAAAAAATTCCCCAATATCAACATATAGTTTGGGGATTCAGGAACTATTTTTATTTGTATGCTTTTACTTTTAGGATTTCTTTGCATCTAAAACACCTGATTAATGTCCAAGGGTTCAATTACCATACTGTGAACATTTCCTTCATAGTTGTTTGTCTTCCGCTGTCAATATCAAACTCATTTTCTTTTGGACAATCTTTTTTGTTGTTGTTTTTCAAGACACGGTTTCTCTGTATTGTTTTGGAGCCTGTCCTGGAACTTGCTCTGTAGACCAGGTTGGCCTCGAATGCCCAGCTCTTTTGGACAATCTTAAGCCTCTTTTCTTCCAGAGTCTAAGTGACTTGCCCTTTTTCTTCTTTCCCCTATTTTAAGTATCATACTGCTTTTATTCTTTAATTTTTCCTCCTATTAAAATCAAACATATGCTGTATACAAATATTTCATTTTCCAAAAAGCTGAACAAATTGAAAAGGTATACTGCTCTTCTCTATGTCACCATCAAAAATTACAAAGAAGATATACACATATATGATATACAATATATAACACTGAGTATCAGATATCATATACTATATGTTATATACTGTATACATTATGTCATATATCACTACATCATAGTATATGTTTATATTATGTAGTATACCTACATATAATGCATGTGATATATATTATATGTATATTTTGTCTGAGATAGATTTGTCTGTTTTGCCCAATCTGTCCTGGAACTCACTTCCTAGACCAGGCTGGCCTTGACTGAAACATCTACCTGCATCTTCTTCCTAAGTGTTGGGATTACATGTGCCACCAGCTGGTTACAAAGAATATATTAACATCCTGTCATTTGCTAAATAAATTTTTAATAATTGTTCAAGGTCAACCTAAATTTTAAAATAAAACAGAAGAAATATAATTTTAGCTTATGAGTATATGTAATAAGAAATTTGAGGTTCATTTTAAAAGTGAGTTTTTAAGATATCCATGGATAAAATATGTTAAGCTAAGATTGTTAAAAAATTAATGTGTATTGATTAATAGGTCAAATGTTCATAAAGACATTAAAAGGCTCTGACAGAAGATACTGCTAGTGAAATTATATCTTACTTATATTATTTCCATTATTACTAGTGATATTTCTAATAATAAAACAGATAATCAAGCAGCAGTTTTCAAAATTCAACAAACAACTGTTAAATTCTGAAAAAAAAAAGATAATTCAAACCCGGATTGGATCAAGAGGATAATGCAAGCCAGAAAAAAAGGGTTGAATTGGTTTTGAAATCATTAAGCAGAGACACTTCTATCTATCATCCTACGTATCTTTACTCTTTCTTTTTCAAATTATGTTTTCATGTCCTTCAAATAAGACACTTTCTCTTGATTCATCCCTCTGATGAGAGATTCATTATTAATGTTTCACTTTTTCCCTTAAAACAACCATCTTTTGAGTATAGTAAAGTACAGGTATGGTGATGAATACTGTAACCTCAATGCTTAAGTACAAGGGGATTGCTGAGCATGAGGTCACCCTAGTATACAATGAAAATTACTGGCTAGCCTGGGCTTCAGAGCAAGACTCTATCTAAAAAAACAAAAAACAAAAAACAAAACAAACAAACAAACAAAAAACACCCATTGGCCAGCCTGGACTTCATAACAAGACTCTGTCCTAAAAACCCCACCCAAACCAAACAAAAACTCAAAACTAACATGTTGTGTAAAACACACTGTTTTGTACTGTTCTGATGCAATGAATTCATTCATGATGGCTCCACTCAATTTTTTTCAAGGAAAATAGGTCTTTTTCTAGATATATCTACTAATTTTCCAAGCAAAGCACATCTAAACATTAGTTTCTCCCAATCTATGACTTCTACACATTAGCAATATTGTGAGAGAACTTTAATCTGCTATAACCTTCTAGAGAAATTAAAAATATGCATAAATACACTCATCATTATATATACACTAAGGACTCATAAATATATCCATGATAATTAAGTAAAGAAGGCTATACACAACACAGAGAGTGTCACAGAAATGCATAAAACAAAACTGAACTTTCACAGTGTGGGAATTTTTAATTGGAAGGATTAAATGTGAATTTTCATAGTTTTATTTTTTCAGTGACCAATTAATTAAATTTTTCTACAAATAAAAGAAATAAATACAACTCTGAGCGTAACTGCAGACTTTCAAGGGAGAGATTATAATTCTATTCTTTAAAATGATTTTTAAAAATCAATATAAATTCAAAAATATTCATAACACTTATTTGTGTGTACGTATGGTATGGTTGGTACGCATGTATAAAGGCCAAAGAACAACTTATGCAAGTTTGTTCTTTCCTCATCCTTGTGGGTCCCAGGCTTTGAACTCTGGTCCATGAGCTCAGCAGCAGGCACCTTTACTCATTGAGCCACCTAGTCACCCCTCAAGGCTCATTGTCAAGAACAGCTTTATAGGTGCAGAAATACTTAAGTATTTCCTGGAGGGTTTTTTTGGTTTGTTTGGCTTTTTCTGTTTTTGTTTTTCTTTTTTTGTTTTTGTTGGGGTTTTGGATTTCTCTGTGCAGCTCAGGCTGTCCTGGAATTCAGATACCCACCTGTCTCTGCCTCTGCCTCTGGAATGCTGGGAGGGATTAAAGGCATGTGTCAGCATTGCCCAGCGTTTCCTAGTGTTCTTCTACTCCTGTCACCTATGCCACCCAGTTCCCCCTATTATTCATATCTTAAATTATCATTAATCAATATCCAAACATTATTATTAGGTAGAAAGTCTATTTAGTTTTCTTTAGTTTTTACTTAATGTCTTTTTTTTTTATTTCCCATCTAGGGTACATTGTAATTGGTTGAGGTTCCTCTTGACTCTACAATTTCTCAAATTTTCCTTATTTCTGATGAGTTTGATTGAATATTATATGATGCACCTCCAGCAGACTCTTTTCCTCATACTACACTAGGGTTATGAGATTTGAAGAGAAAGATAATACAAGTACCATCATATCACTGGCATTGCAGCACTATAAAAGAAAATGTTTAGTCCATTTTCTATTGCTGTAACAAACACCTAGAGCTATATCATCTATATGAAGAAAAAAGACTTATTTATCACAGAGTTTTAGAAGCTGAAAGTCCCAGCAAAATGGCTGCCATGCCACATCTCACAACAGATAGCACCAGGGCAGGATTATGTTCTAGGGACAGAGCAAATGGTAATATAGGAAGTCAGAGTATCAAATACACTTTCTATGAGAACTCTGTCAGCAATGAACTGACTGATCCCACAAACACCACACCAACTCCTTCCAAACAAAACACCCCCAGTAACCTAATCATAGCTGACCAATCCCACATCACCATATTGGAGAGCAAGTGTCCATCAAATGAACTTTTGGAAGACAAACCATAGCAAATCACAGTAGCTATATATTATCAATAAGGTTTGTGACTATAGATGGGGATCTTGATTACCTGGATGAAATAGTATTTATTAGATTATTATATTATAAACTCACTCTTGTGTCTTATGAAACTGCATCTTGACCTACTGTTTGCAAACTTAACAACACTGAATAAAAATGTAATTATTTGTATATGCCTAGCACACACACACAAAGACACACACAAAGACACACATACACACACACACACACACACACACACACACACACACACA